CACCGGAAAGGACAGGTGAATTTTGTCACGAACTTATCAGTTATCGAAAAAAAAACCTTACAAGACTCGGTGCTCCAACAGCTTCGAAGCATTTAATTGATTTTCGCTAAAAACTAAAAAACTGCTCAATGCAAAATTTGACTAGAACGAAGTTAACTGAATAAGAAATGTCGCTTTCTATGGTCTCTCAAAATGAACAATGCTTCCTACCAACAAACTCATCATAACCGTTCAAATTCTGTGAATTCGAGTATGCGTTGAAGTAGAATCGGAGATCACCATCATGCTAAAAGATTTTATTGCCATCCCATAAATGGGTTTAACCATTTAATCTTCACGATCTCAGCTACTCTAAATCACTCTTGATCGGACCGCAGGAGCAAATCGCCAGTTAGGATGCCTCTTGTAGTGTCCTTAGAATTGCTATACCCAGCCTCGTGATTCTCATCAAAAATATTTTAATCACCAATCATTTCTCAACGATCTTTCGTTATGCATGATGCGTTCAAGCTTTCATTATTTATTGCAGCCATTTCAGTAGCGTTCTAAAACGTCCTCTAATACAACTAACATTACTTGCAATTTGCAGCATACCACTGAGAGCAAAACAAAACTTACCGTAATCAAAATCCGCATGGATCGTTTTGAAACAAAAGTGTGAAAATGTCCACTAACTCTAACCTTCAGAATTTGTGTTATAATCCATTTGTGACGCTTTTCTAGTGTAATTTAATTTTATGTGGGTGAAATCAATGATATCACACTAACCTTTTGTTTCTGCATGCTAACAGTAGTGAATCTCTAGAACGTCAAAAACGAGAAATAAAAACAGAAAATCGAATTTATCAAAATCACCTGACAATAATTGCGCTTGGCGAGGCTTGTGATATGGAAATGCCGAATAGATGTGATGAGAATGCCGCATGTATTGATGGGACATGTCACTGTGATCAAAGCAGTGCTCAGAAAGACGACTCATGTATTCCAAAACAGCTCGGTAAGATTTCAAGATGCTCTTCTAAAGTTTAATGATGTTTATTCGTTCGATTCGAACATATTTCATCCATACAAATGTCTAGATATGAAGCAATAAAAGCAGCACATTGAGAAAGATCTCATGAAATTCATGCAAACAACTCTCGACCGATGTTACGTCTGAACTTTTTCAGGTGATCAACTAAAGAACTGTACCTCTAATCAGGGAATTTGCTCAGGTGGGATGTATTGTTTGAAAGGTGTATGTGTCTGCCCAACAGGCCAGCATCTCATTCATGGTTCTTGTGCAAGTACTGAACCTCAATTCAACGTTCATCTTCACCATTCTACTAAACCGCTCAAAAATCCTTTCATTCCATTTCCAACCCAGTCCCCAACTCCTCTCATGAACTTGATTAAACCGATTGGCTATCCGGATTTATCATCTTTTGCAAATTCGCAACTGTTCCATAAATCACCTCTCAACCGTTTTCATCGTGATGCCAACCAAGCGCAACATTCCAATTTCCTCAGTTATCCGTTCATAACTGGCGCAAGTGCGTTGCCATTCCCTCAGTTCGACAATCCTAACAACAACCCAATCATAAATCATGATCAAGGCAATTACTTCTATCCCACGTTCAACAATATTCCAATGAACAATAATTATCCAGTCCTTGTAACCTTCAACAATGCTTTATTTGGTGAGTGTTTGATGAATGTTTCGAATTTCTGCATGAAATTTCGACAAAACTGAAATCACTATGCGCAATCAATTCACATCTTCCTTCATGCAATACCCACCTTTTCGCGACGAATGAACAAATCTTGTCCCGAATGTGACTGAAGCATTCAGTTTATCGCTGTCACAACGCTGACCAGTCGAAAGGTGTGTGTAATTAAGGGCTTGCATCTGGTCCTGGGAGTGCGTGTTTTAAAGGTTGTCGTTGTGATAGTAATTTGATATGCACTAACGGCTTTTGCATTTGTCCGTATGGACAGAAAATAG